ACTGCAGACATACTTTTACTCTCAACCTTCATTTTAGGTCATTGAAATGGACTATGGCATGGACGACAAGGACCCTATCCAACATGTTCATTTCTACAGCAAATCTGAGCTTGACAAGCAAAGCTGATGCCCGAAGAAAAGGTAAGAATAAATATTGATTAAAACATTTTTTATTGCAATATTTCTTCTGTTTATTGGCTCCATGTGTTACACCCGTGAACAGCTGTTGCGCTGTGCCAGCCTCGGTACATCCAGCCAAAAGACGGACATCCCGCAGAACTACGGAGGAAGAGAAGGGGCAGAGCCGGAGTGAAGTGCCGGGAAAAGAAAAGACGGTACAAACCATCCGTGCCGTCTTTAATTATGGGAATGTAAGATCTCTCCCTAATAAGATGGAGGAGCTGACGGCGCTCACCCGGCTTCAGAGGGAGTACCGAGAGTGTAGCATCATGCAGTTCACGGAGACATGGCTGAATGAACTCACTCCGGACACGCTCGTAACTTTGGACGGCTTCCAACTCGTCAGAGCGGACCGGAGCGCGAGGAGAGCGGTAAGAAGAAAGGCGGGGGAATAGCGATGTATGTGAATGAGAGGTGGTGTAACTCTGGGCACATCACCGTTAAAGAACAGCGCTGCACTAAGGATGTGGAGCTGCTGGCTGTAAGCATTCGGCCATATTACCTGCCGAGGGAGTTTTCACACGTCATCGCGGTGACTGTTTACATCCCCCCCTCGGCAGACGCTGCTGCAGCCTGTGAACTCATCCACATGTAGTGTCTCAGCTACAGACATCACACCCCCAGTCTCTTACTCTCATCTCAGGAGACTTTAACCACGTTTCCCTGTCTGCCACTCTCCCTACTTTCACTCAGTATGTTGACTGCCATACTAGGACAATAAAACTTTGGACTTACTGTATGCAAACACCAAGGCTGCATACAGATCATCACCCCTCCCCCTCTGGGCCGCTCAGACCACAACCTGGTGAGACTGCAGCCCATTTACATACCTATGGTGAAAAAACAACCCCCCACAACCAGGTATGTGAAGAAGTGGTCTAAGGAGGCCACTGAGGCGCTGCAGGACTGCTTCGACACCACTGACTGGGAGGTGCTGTGCAGCCCACATGGAGGACATCGACGGTTTAACCCACTGCATCACAGATTACATAAACTTCTGTGTTGAGAACACTGTACCCACCAAAAAAATACAGTGTTTCTCCAACAACAAACCCTGGGTGACCCCTGAGCTGAAAACCCTGCTCAATTAAAAGAGAAGGGTTTTTAGATCTGGAGATAGAGAGGAGCTGAGGAGGGTGCAAAAGGATAGCTCAAGATTAAAATCAAGGAATTGAAAGCCAGCTATCGGGAAAAGATGGAGGAAGATTTACAACATAAAAATGCAAGAGAAGTCTGGAGGGGCCTGAATAACATCTCAGGTCACAGCAGAAGGCGTGGGAGGGGCCTGAAGCAGGAGACAGGGAGTGGGCAAATGAACTGAATCTGTTCTTCAATAGATTTGATTCTGCTCCAACCCCACCCCCACCCACCAGAGCGCAGACCAGCCCGCTTCTCCATCTGAGTACCCTGAGTACCCTGCCACCCCCCTCAACAGCCCTCTCCTTCTCCTCCTCCTCCTCAGACGACCCCCAACAACCCCCTCCTCTTCTTCATCCTCCTCCTCCGACGGCCTCTCCATAACAGCTGATCAGGTGAGAAGCCAGCTGAGGAAGATCAAGGCGAGGAAGGCCACAGGTCCGACGGCATCAGCTCCAGACTCCTGAAGGACTGTGCAGACCAGCTCTGTGAGGTCCTTCTGCACATCTTCAACCTGAGCCTGAGACTGGAGAGGGTACCGACTCTGTGGAAGACTTCCTGCGTGGTGCCAGTCCCAAAGACATCTCACCTCAGGGAGCCTAACCACTTCAGACCTGTGCCCTCACCTCTCACCTGATGAAGACCATGGAGAGGATCGTCCTCAACAACCTCCGCCCCTGATGACTTCAAATCTGGATCCTCTGCAGTTCGCCTACCAGCCGAACATCGGGGCGGATGACGCCGTCATCTACCTGCTGCAGAGATCCTGGACTCACCTGTAGAACACCGGCAGCACTGTGAGGGTCATGTTCTTTGACTTCTCCAGTGCCTTCATCACCATCCAGCCTGCACTGCTCAGGGGGAAGCTAGAGAGGGCGGGAGTGGACTGTCACCTGGCTGCATGGACAACGGACTACCTCACCAACAGACCACAGTACGTGAGGCTTCAGGACTGTGAGTCTGACATGGTGGTCTGCAGTACAGGGGCCCGCAGGGACAGTTCTCTCCCCTTTTCTCTTCACCCTGTACACCTGACATCCATCATGGACAACCCCTCTCACCCCTTGCATGACACTGTGGGGGCCCTGAGCAGCTCCTTCAGCAGCAGACTGAGACACCCACCCTGCAAGACAGAGCGCTACCGCAGGTCGTTCATCCCATCTGCAGTCAGACTGTTTAATCAGACTCTTTAACAACATCACCACCTCATGCTACACACTGTGTGTGTGTTTTTTTAAGAGCAATCCCTTAATTACTGTGTAATTTTAAATTATTGTATATTTTATTTTATTTAAATGATGTAAATATGTTTGATTTGATTTTAACGTCTAGTTTTATTTTTAATAAGTATATTCCCGTCCCCTGTTTTCTGGAGCTGCTGTAATGCACAAATTTCCCCCACAGGGGATCAATAAAGTTTATCTTTATCTTTATCTTTAAATTATTTGTAAGGCAGCTTATGTCACCACAACTCTCAAATTAAAGCTGCTGTCCTTCTTTACAGGGATCCAGGATTCACACAACGTGCTTTTCTGAGCAGCTGATCAGGGTCTTCTGTAAGGAGATTGATGACGAGAGTGTGGAGGCTGCCAAAAAGCACTTTAAACAGTGGTACTATGATTTTCTAATCCTTTGATAATAGTTGAATCTTAAGATGTTAAAGGATACAATACATATCGACTAACTTGCTGTTGATTGAACATAAAACATCAAATATAAATTCAGACCAGTTGACTTGGCTAAAGTAAATAGAAAACAGTCAACATTGAGTACAGTTTATTTAACATGGTTGAACATGTGATCTACAGTCTCAAACAGACTTTTTTTGAATGGGTGTGTATGTGGCTTCCAGTGTTTCTCTAGCCAGCTTCAGGTGGGGTCTCCCCAAGAAAATGTTAAGCACCAAACATTTATTTTCCTGCATTCTCATCCTGATTTTGTCTCGTTTAAAGAAATGGAATAAAGATGTGCGCATGAGAGAGAGAGAGAGAGAGAGAGAGAGAGAGTAAAACCAGATATGCCTTGCTGATGGAAATAATTGATGGACCTCAGCCCCTTGTTTTGTCTCGCAGAATTTATGAAACCTTGTCAACAGTTTGCTAGTCCGTAGCCACGCTTTACAAGTCCATTGTACTGATTAGCAGACAGCATTTGATTTTTTTAACTGAGCCTTCATGGGCTCTGTGCAACACAACAAAACTCACTCTTTAAAAAGTTGATCTAGCATCTCAGTTATTACAACAGGTGAGCATGATGTGAAGGCCTGTTATCAAGATTCAGCAAAACCAAGAGAGAGCATCATCACATCGGCAGCAAGCAGCTTCACAAACATAATAAAACTAAGTCATGAGAAGCTTCAGTTTTGACATGTCAGGAGGGCTGGACCTCAGGTGCATTAACAGGAGGGAGGAACAAACAGCAGCCCTCTTTTTGTCTCTCTCTCTCTCGTGCGGACGGCAATTTTATGAATAATTAAAACATATAGTTTTAAAATATAGGCTACTTGGGCAGCTATACATGTACCTGGGTAGCCCGAGTATTGTCTGTGTGGGAAATACTGACGCGAGTGCAGCGTAAGTGCAGTTTGTGAAGGAAAAAGGAGCAAGAGAATCGGCATCACGCAGACATGACATCGCAACTATGTGAGAATCGAGACTGGGATTCTTTCTGACCTGAGGGATCTTTTTTTGTTTTGTTGTGCTTCAGTTTGCACATGTCTTGGCTCCAAAAGAAGTCACCAGCACAAAATGTTGGCTGGTATTTTGTCTTTGCTCTTTATACAACAGACCAAAACTCATTGTCCATATTAATATATGCAGTTTGTGGTTTTATGACATTGAAAGGCTGTTTTAATATATGAGCATTAGAATGGAGCAATGAGCAGGGAGGGAATGATTGCATTGAACTTCAGGATACTGTTGCCTTTTCTTTGCTTTTATATGATTTTGATCCCTTTTTTGATGCCAAATTAATGTTGGTGTCTTCAAACTTTTGTATTTTAGTACCAAAAGACAAAAACGTTGAAAATATTTTTTTTTACTGAAGATTTTAAAAAACTGAAAATCCTCACCAGTAAGATGATGGATCTGCATGATGAGTGCATTGTTTTGCTTTAAAATAAGTTGAATGAGAGATCGTTTGTTAAATAGAATCATTTCTGCCTCAAACATTAGCTGTGCTCAGCCTTCAGTCTTCCTTTCAGGTTAAGGTGCTGGTTAAGCTCTACTCTAATTCTGCAAAACATTGTCTCTGGAAATATCTACAAGTTTGTTGGTGAGAGAAAGCCAGCGGACCCCATCGAGGATTGGGAAGTAAGTCTGTGTTCTTGTGTTTCATTACATTTATAACACATGATCTAATCACCTTAACCTAGTTATTGAAAAGGTTGTTGCTGAACAACTGGTAGCCCATCTTAATATTGAAAATCTACTGCACCCTATGCAATTTGGGTTTCGAGCAAACCATTCCACTGAAACGGCATGTTGCTACTTCCTTGAAGTCATTAAAGGTAGCCTTGATAAAGGAGGGGTGGTGGGTGCTGTATTTCTTGACCTGCGCAAGGCTTTCGATACAGTTAATCATTCAGTACACATCTCCAAATTGTCTAAATTTAAACTCTCTGCTAACGTTGTTAATTGGATTCAGTCTTACCTACTTGGTCGCTCCCAGTGCGTACGGATAAATGATAAAATATCATCACTAAAAGCCTGCGTTATGGGAGTGCCACAAGGTTCCATCTTAGGACCGTTGTTGTTTAGTGCATACATCAATGATCTCCCATCTGTGTGTGATGATGTGGGGACCTTGATGTATGCAGACGACACGGTCCTATATGCATGTGGGAAAGACCCTGAACAAGTAGCTGCCAAACTGTCATTAGCAATGGAACAAGTCATAGAATGGTTACGTTATTCATACGTTACGTTAATACTGACAAAACTGTGGTCATGTATTTTGTAAATAAACACAAAAATATGTTTTTTCCAAATATTATTGTAGGTGGGCAAATGATAAAAAAGGTTGATGAGTTGGGTTGATACTTGATACTTGGGTGTTACACTAGACCACAACCTTACTTTTAAAAGTCATATTAAAAAGATGTGCCATAAAGTTAAATATAACATAGCCAACTTTAGACATATCAGGAACTCACTTACAGTCGAAGCGTCTAAAATGTATTTGAATGCTATGATTTTTTCTTACTTTCATTACTGTATATCATGTTGGTCCCAAGCAAACAAGACTGTCTTAAAACCCATAAGGTCACTTCATAAACAAGCCCTTAAAACTCTGGACAGGAAACCACAACAGTATCATCATTGTGATATTCTTGATAAATATAAAATTCTGAGCTTTGACCATTTCATTTTTTATACCGATGTCCGCTTAGTGTACAAAATAATCCATGATGCTGCTCCCCCACCATTGAAAAGCTTTGTGAAACTTCGCTCTGAGCTGATAAGCAGATCTTCAACGTCTGCCTCTAATGGAGATTGCAGTGTTCCTAAACGTGGCTCCGCTTTAGCACGATCAGTTTTTCTTTTAAAGCCGTTAAGGAATGGAATAGTCTTCCAACTAGTCTTAAACTTTGCACAAACTTCTGCACTTTCACCGGGAAGTCAAAAAATGGATTTAAGGAACCAGCCTTGTCAGCATTAATGTGTCATCTCGACAACCTTTTAGATCTCTCAGGGAAACTATAATGTTTTAATATCTGTAAATTGTTCTATGTCTTTCTTCTCTCGTGTGCGTGCGTGTGTGCGTGCGTGCGTGCGAGTGTGTCTGGTTGATTTGTATTTTGCTGTTGCCATCATCTGCCCAGGGACAACAGATGGAACTTAGCTAGCTAGCTAAATCTGGTACAAAGCATCTCTTCTCTTCTGAGACTAATGTTTTTTTTTTTGTACACTAACCCTGATTCAAATAAACGGTTAAATAAATAATGCACTGTTATCACAAAGCTGGATAATGTGCTCATTTTTAGTTAATAGAATAAGTACACATCACATTATTTACTGTCTCCAGCATTTTATCTTGCCCGTAATATTACATTTAACATGAACAGCAGCACTATTGAACAGTTCTCTTTTTGAAATGTAATGTGAATTGGATAGCAGCTTGAAATGTCTTACAATACAAAATCCCTCAGTCAACTAATGCTGCATGATATTGGGGAAACTGCGTTTTCTTTTCATGTTCATACTATTACAATTTTTATTATTATTTGGGTCTTCAAGTTTATTTTCTTTTACAAATAAGAACCCCTTATACATTCAAAGCTACATTTAATTTGCATCAAGAGCCCTGTGACATTAACTTCTAAGCAAAGAACAGTTCATCTTCATACACTGCATGTGATCCCTTCACTCTCTCTCCCTCTACACTTTATGTGCTCATGGACTAACACACGTCCTGGGATATTACCATGGCACTTGTACACATAGCAAAATGAATGCTTAGATCATACCATGCAGCCCTACAGTCAAATGCATTTACACTAAGTTGGTGCAGTTTTTTGAGTGAATGTGAATTGAATTCCAAGTTGCTTACATTGTCAACTTAAAATGCAAAAAAACTTGAATCTATATCCTTTTCCACTGTTGTAATTTTTTTCTGATTCCTTGTCAAGAGCCGGATTTCTGGCTGGAAAGAAGGATTGGCTCAACCCCTCCCTGACGAGGAAGAAAGCAACCTGAAACCAGAGGACTTTGAAATCCTGGTGAGTTTTTTTTACTTTCTTTCGTCTCAGTTTTGCTGATTCTTTGATTTGTAAGATGTTGCAGAATTTGTTATGGCACACATTTTACTCTCGACCTTCTTTTTAGGTCATTAACATGGACTACGGCATGAAAGACGAGAACAACAAAAATGTCAGAACTAATTATTGATTAAAACAATTTTTTTATCGCAATCATTCAATATTTCTTCTGTTTATTATTTGTAAGGCAGCTTATGTCACCATAACTCTCAAATTAAAGCTGCTGCCATTCTTTACAGGAATCCAGGATTGGCACAACGTGCTTTTCTGAGCAGCTGATCAGGGTCTTCTGTAAGAAGACTGATAGAAAGAGTGTGAAGGCTGCAAAAAAGCACTTTGAACAGTGGTACAATGATTTTCCAATCCTTAGATAATAGTTGAATATTAAGATGTTAAAGGATACAATATGAACTAACTTGCTGTTGATTAAACATAAAACCAGTTGACTTGGCTGAAGTAAATAGAAAACAGTCCACATTGAGTACAGTTTATTTAATATGGTTGAACATGTGATCTACAATCTGCTGAGTGTGGAAAACATTAGCTGTGCTAGCATCCTCAGCCTTCGGTCTTCCTTTCAGGTTAACGTATGCTTACCTGTGCTGGTGAAGCTCTACTCTAATAGATTTGATACTTTAACTTAACAAAATACTGCCAAAGTGAGCAACACTCCAACATGTTATTGTCCTTTGTCCTGGTTTGCATCCAGGTTAGACAGCAAGTCTAGACAGTCAGTCAGGTTTCTGTACTGAAACAATTTTACTGACCTGTATTGGAACCGTGCAGGACTCTGGTTTGGGCCCTCAGGTTAAGAGAGGTAAGCAACAGCAGCATGGGAGTGAAACCAAAAGATTAACCAACCCTCTGGTTTCTTCAACTTTCACTCAGGAGCAAAAATCAGCTTTTAAATTTGAAAATTTGAAAGTAAAAATGATTGACAATTATTGTGATAATTATATCGACTGATATGACATTTTGATAACATTTTTTTAGCCCAGGCCTATAAGCTACGGGTCTTATTGTGAATAACGTGTATCCTTCATTAAAAGAAAAACGGACATGTTAAAAAAAAAATCCCTCTTCATACAGTGTGTGCTGATTGAGACATGAGATAATCAGACCAATTTGGTTTTTTGAATCGGGCTGTAAACATGTTTATTTCTGTTGTAAAAATTGGCTTTTTTGAATGGGTGTGTATGTGACATATTAATATATGCAGTTAGTGGTTTTATTACATTGAAAGGCTGTTTTATATATGAGCATTAGAATGGAACAATGAGCAGGGAGGGAATGATTGCATAGTGAAACAGAGCTTCAGGATTCTTTTTTTTTGCATATATATGATTTTGATCTTTTTTTGATGCTAAATTAGCATTGGTGTCGTCAAACTTTTGTATTTTCCTACCAACGGACAAAAACTTTGAAATAATGTATTTTATTACTTGAGATTTAAAAAAACTGAAAGTTCTCAGCAGTGAGATGATGGATCTGCATGATGAGTACATCGTTTATCTTTAAAATAAGTTGAATGTTAGATCGTTTGTTAAATAGAATCATTTCTTCTTCAGTTTATCTCTCACTAGGTTTACTCTATACTGCTTTCTTTAAACAGATGTACTTTTGTGTCTTTATTAACATGCAGGAAGTTCGAGAAGAAGCCGCATCTGCTTGGACCTGAGGGTAATTAAAAGACCATGGAAATGACTCAACAACATGAATAACACAGAATTATTTCTTATTCAGACTCAGGACTCTTTCTAGCTTTTATCATATACATGTTGTATTGTTGTTTTAAATTGTTGACTCCCTTCTGCATCTGCATAAGTTCCAACAACATACAACATGATTTTATTGAGGACAAAGATAAATCATAATATATAATAATATAAACTGATACATAGACACACATGACACTGGATACATTACTTACACAGCTAGCAGCTGTATGGCTGTTGAATACCACTTAGGTAAAGAAAGCCATTATTGAAATCCAACAATCATTGTCTCAAACTGAATATATAAACTGCATGTTTCTGAATTGATTCAGCTTTTGGTCACATTTATGCTTCTTTGTAGGTTGTGAATTATTTTTGGTCGGGGAAAGATGTAAAGCACTCCCAACATGTGTAATGGAGTGAATATTTCACTTGTGGTTTTATTTAGGGATTTATAATACTCAGTGGTGTTTTAGTTTTGATGTTAATCGTTTGAAGATTGAGGACATGAGATTAGATTATTTGTCTTTGAGTGGTGTTTAATGAGAGATGATCATGAGTGATGTTTTGGTGACTGGTATTATCTTATATTACTTTGTATCTGCAGCATTTATTATCACAATACAATTTTAATCTGTTTTAAAATGAGTCTTATTTTGGGCATGTTTTATAATGTGCTCTTCTTTTGAGTTTATGATTCTTACTTTAAAAACTGGAACTTGTGAAAACCTTTATTTGCATCTAAAAACTTGAAATTCGAATTGAAAAATATCTTTTAAACGTATCCATCAACTACCTTTCTTCAATGGATGATGAATGTGTTTAAATGTATGACACACTTTAAGTGAAGCTATAATTGTTTGACGATTGGTTCTTACATAAAGCATCTATGAGAACCTTTCAAGTGTATTCCTGTTGTGATGGGTTCATATCTGATAAAATCTGCATGTATTCAAAATAAACATCAGAGAAAATCCTGAGTTCAACATTGTGTAATCTATCAAACCATATGCATCTATATATATATGTATATATATACACTGTATATATCACCTGTGGTACAAATCTAATTGCAGTTCAAAGTCCTTTACAAAGGAGCGGAAAAATGACTGACAAAAGGTAGTTTGTAAAATATAACAGCAATAAGAAATGAAATCAGCACAATGATTGATAAATATAAATACTAAAAACCTAAAATCAAACACTAAAATGTAAATTTAAAAGTAGAGATGAATAATATTGATTAAAATATAGTAAATTAAAAGCCTTAAAATGATTAAGTCATATAGAAAAGCCAGACTGAATAAATGAGTTTTTTAAATTGTTTTTAAAAATCTCAATATTCTCTGATCCTCTGAAGTCTGTTCCAAAGTCTCAGAGCAGCTAAACGCAGAATCACAAAAGGTTTTTGTTCTGCTCTGTGGAACAACTAAAAGAAGAACCATAGAAGAACAAGAAGACCTGAGGGGTCGTCCTGGTTCATAAACTAAAATCAACTCTGAAAAGTTAATCTGGTGGGAGGCCAAGTGCTTTAGACAATAATAAAATCAATATGAAGACAAAGAGGCAGCCAGTGTCAAGACTTTCAAAGATAGTGTAAGATGGAGATGAGATTTATTTTTGTGAAGTATTATTTTATAGATCTTTATTTTGATTAGGTTGAGATAATATACATTATTTGATTTAATGCTAATTTCATTTATATTTACAATTTGCACTGTACAAGAGTATCTGTTTGATATGATGCACTATGCCTTTAAGGTTACCCATGGTTACGGTTTGAGGAGTGATATTGCTTTAGGACAAGTAAGGTGTCACTGTTGTTGTTGTTCAGTCTGGATATGTCATGCTCTGTTACAGACGGACATTAAACGTATGAGACGCACAGCAGAAGTTGTTCCCGTGCTTTTACTTACCCACACCCGAATATACAGTAGAAATATATATATAAAAATATATTGTCTTGCAGCCTTTTCTTCTTCATGAGTGGAGAATTAAAACAAAGTGTTAATAGTAATTTGCCTATGTTTGATTAAAGAGTGGAAGGTACCGCACATCAATTTGCAATTTGGGATCTTCTCTATTTTGAAGATCATTTTTGATGAACTTAACTTTCGCCCTATTTTATAAGCTCTCCATAAACATTTAGAAGCTGTTTTTAACTTTCTAAAATAAAGTGCCAAGACGTTATTAAGATTTCAGTGTATTAGTATTAGTCAACAAATATAAATTCTTCTGTAAAGATGTTAACACTCATTCATTACTTCATCATAACTGCCAACTACTTGATATTGTTTTAATCTGTCCTTTAGAAGTTTTTTGACTGCCCTCACATGCTTCACAGGTTGAGTTAATGTCGACATTGCCTATTTCATCACATCATGTTAAGTTTATTTGTAGGACACAGTAATCAACTGTACATCATTTGCAATAACAGAAACTGTGTGTGGAGTATGGATCACATGCTTGTTTATATATTATTTCACCACACATTAAGTGTTGTATGCAGAAGGTGTAATTCTAAATCCCAAATGTTCATGCTGTGAGAGACTGATAATTTGTGTGTGTGTGTGTGTGTGTGTGTGTGTGTGTGTGTGTGTGTGTGTGTGTGTGTGTGTGTGTGTGTGTGTGTGTGTGTGTGTGTGTGTGTGTGTGTGTGTGTGTGTGTGTGTGTGCGGGGTAGGTAAATAAATTATGCAAAGAGCAGAATACTTTGCATGTTTGTTCTGCCGGTACAAAAAGAAGCAGCAGGAGATGAGCGAGAAACTGTTGGAATCACTAGATTCCAATAGTTTATTGGAATTAATCACATTATTATTCACATTCGCCATTTATCAGAATCAGAAATACTTTAATAATCCTGGAGGGGGGGGGGGGGTGAGTGATAATGTGTTATGAAACGCCTTGAGAGGTGTCTTGTTTAAAGGCACCTCGACAGTGCTCAGGAAGTGAATTGGCGCCTCTCCAGCTACCAGACCAATCTCCAGACTTGAACCGACACCCTCCGGTTCCAGCACAAGTCCCTGCAGACTGAGCTACTGCCACCCCATAGAGCTTTTAGTCCAAGAAATAACAACTTAAAACACAACCTGATCCAGGTATTTATATATTTCAGAATCTTGAAAGTATACTAAGTACTGATGTTGTAGTGAGGACCACACTAACCGAGACCAAGACATATGTGAGACCAGAGTGATATGAGACTGAGACAAGACCGAGACATTTAGGGATCGAGACCAAGTCAAGACCAAGACCATAAATATCACTTTTAAAATCATCATGTGTGCAGCGGGCGTGTCACTCACACTCATCAGTAACACCAGGAAGGTTGCGGTGGTAACCAAGAGATAAAAATCAAACTACAAATGAATTGAAGTCATTTGTTCTTTTAGAAAGGAGCATCGAGGTGGTCTTGACTGGTCTTAATCTAAAATCAGGAGTCCGCCCAGTCTGAGACAGAGACAAGACAGAGTAAAAATACTTTCAAGACGAGACCTTCAAACAGTGGTCTCGAGACCGGTCTTGATTTCGATTACTACAACACTAGTGTGTACATTTGAAAAAAAGAAAGAAAAATATCCTAAAATAACCAGTAAATACTCTGTTCATTGCATTGGAAAGAAACTTAATTTTGAAGTAAGCATATTAAATTAAGGATTAACAATTGTACTGGAGGTTAAAATATGAATGTTGGTATCATAGAGGCTGATAAAAGCTATGTATTCCTCCTTTGGTTGAATTATAAGTCCACCGAAGAGTATCCTACAATTTGGCCCTCTGACAGTGAGAATTAAATATATGTGGCCCTTGCTGTGACCAAAGTTGCCCTTTCCTGGTCTAGATCAACACCAATGGGTTACACCATCCAATTGCATCCAATATCTGACTTCTTTGCCACACCTGTTTAAGCCACAACCACAACTTTATAAAAGCCTGCGCTCAGGTCTGTTACTTCCTCTTCCATCCAAACCAAGCCTGACCTGCTATAGAGAACAACAAAAACCTCCATGTGAGTGTAAAATGGATCTTTCACCTTACTTCATTCTTATTTTGTTGATATATTATGAATTATTTCCAATAAACACATGTATTAATGATAGTTTAAAAAACAATTTTAGAAACTTACTTAATTATTCTGATTGGTTTGACATTATTTATCAAGATCTGTAATATTTCCTATTTGTCATCAGCTAAAATCATTCACAACATCTACAAAGAGGATCAACTTTTGAAACAGCATCAGATCCTGTGTACGAACATGTGAACTCCAGTTTGCGTTCCTTTGTCCTTACGTTAGGTTATTTGCTTTATGTTGATTTGTGTTTTTTTACGACTGATTTGTGAATTTGTGAATATGTCAAAATAAGTAGCCTAAAAAAGTACCAGATATTACAGTTTTAGTACATCATTGACTTTTAAAAAAATCAATAGTTATACTAACATGAGATTACAATTTGTCATTTAAGTTTGATCTGTGTTGCTGCACGGAGAATCAGTTTGACTTTGACATCCTTCTTTCAGTTTAAAACAAAACTTAAACCTCAGCAGAAATTAGATGATAAAAATGGATATTTATAAGCCCTATAAAGATACCTGACCTGGGAATAAAGTCATATCTTTGTGATGAAATTAAGAAAACCAACTCTTTATGGAAGTAAGATAACAAAGTGAGATATGTTAACATAGATATTATCTTTAAACAACTTTCTATGTCTGCAATCAGAAGTAATCTCAGAAGAAAAAGTAGGAGATGTCACATTGATAAAAACACTCTGTAATGTGCTCATTCTGGATGTTACTGGAGGTCATATATTATAGTCTCATCTTTTATTTTTGGATAGAATGATGACAGACAGATGTTCACCTCCTTTACATGCTTCTGGATACATCATGAGGCTGAACATCTTTGTCATCATAGAATGAGAAAATCTTTTACAGTCTGAGGGTTTCTTACGTTTCCTTTCTGAAAGTTATGACAAAAGCAACACAAAAAAGATTAGTACCTGTTTAAAATTTCTCCTTCAGAGCATTCTTCAAATGGTCAGGGCACACTTTACCATAGAGAGTTCAGCAACATTCCCATCTTGTGGCCATTTGATGTAATTGCAGTCCTCAAATAGAGTACACTATAAATCTCTGTCTAAAGAGCAGGTTAAACATGCAACATTCCTCTAAATGTTTCTTCAGAAGTAACTTCTAATACTGATTTATTTCTAACATCCTGTCATTTCTTCACTTCTTTATACGTTTAGATTTGTTAATTTGACTTAAGAAATTCTGATGCACTTTCAGTTTGTTTTCTGAAATGTTTGGTATATCAATAAAAGAAGAGGATCATTATGAGGGTAAAGACCAATGACATGGGTGTGGTGGAGATATAAATGTCAGATGTTTTAAAACCCTGAGCGTCATAAAAAAAAAGCCTTAAGCAGCTATGGCTATAAATGACATTTGCACTTGTCAGATCAGCATCAGAAACATTAGCTTGATGTAAATGCAACGTCTTACGGCTTCAAAACATTAAAAACTATATAGATAGATTTGATCTTTAAGTCACAGGTAGCTGAGGAAATGAGTTGGTACAAAAAGAAGGACGATTGGAGGAAAATTTAGAGGTCGGTTTTCTAGTTACAGTCGACTAAATTCATGGTTTGTTTTCTGGTTTGGTAAGTTGTATCCATGGTTATTTTAAACTCATGGTTTAACTTGACAATGTTGCATTTTAGCTTGTGTAAAACTGAGGTTACTTAATAAATGACTGAAGACTAACTTCTTGCTCTTTTATCTAGAACAAGTCGGGGCAAAATGGGAAATAAGTGAGTACCTCTGTCTTTGTTAAACCAGTTTAAAATATCTCAACTTTATAAAGAAATCATTTTAAGTTGGAAGTTTCAGCACTTCTTCATACTGTTAATGCTTTTTTTTCTAAATTTTACAGACTGATCACCAAGGTAAAATACTTCACGTCTTACCACACATCACACCACATTTTTGCGGCTGGAGAGATAAGAGAGAATAAACAGAACAAACAATGACGACTTGTAGAATAAACCGCACACAAACACACCTCCACAAAGTTAAGCCTGTGTACATGTATTATCCATTATCAGTCTAAATTAAAAATCGAATTAACTGGGAGGACTTTGTTCTCTAGATGCTTATTATCCACACCAGTGGTGAGGACAGCTAGCTTTGTGCACCTTTACTATCCAAACCAACCCTCTTTGTTCTCCTTTCCTTTAATCCTAAAAAAAAGGAAGAGGAACACAGACTGTAGGCTATTGAAATAGGACATTTTCAGTGTCCAATGTTTTGTTCTCTTTGTTCTACTAGATGCTGAATATCCCCACCAGTGGTGAGGACAGCTAGCTTTGTTCACCTTTTCTATCCAAATCAACCCTCTTTGTTCTCCTTTCCTTCAATACTTAAAAAAAAGGAATAGGAAGACACGCTTTGTATTGAAAGGACATTTTCAGTGTCCAATGTTTTGTTCTCTTTGTTCTACTAGATGTTTAATATCCCAACCAGTGGTAAAGTCAAAAAAACGTTCTTTGTAGCATCAGCTTTATTCTTGGGCTCATTTCATGCTTATCCTATACCTCCCAGAGCCCTCAGGCAATCTTGAGCTGGTCTTCATGGTGTTGTTTTGTTTTTGGCATTTCATTTTTCTTAGCTTTTGTTTGTTTGTTTTCTGCCAGGTGTTTAATGATCCCATCCATGGTAGCATAGAGTTACACCCACTCCTCATCAAGATCATTGACACACCTCAGTTCCAGAGACTTCGATTCATAAAGCAGCTTGGAGGTGTCTACTTTGTTTACCCTGGAGCGTCTCACAACCGCTTTGAACACTCAATCGGGTAAGTCAGCAAGTTTTCAGATTTCAGCCCACAGGTGACCTCAGTCCAAATAAGGAGAAGACTCATGGTTTTCACATAAGCACCTTGTAAAACCAATAAAGGCAGAAAACAGTGCCTGTCTTAGTATGGATCTTATAAAAGTATATATTTTCATTTTGGTAGCAGCATCCTATTGTGATAACTGCGTAATGACTTTAAAAAAGTTTTCTGTGGTCTAAAAAGGGTGGGATACTTAGCAGGAAAACTTGCTGAGGCTCTCAGGTCAAGGCAGCCGGATCTCAGCATCACTGACAGAGACGTCCTTTGTGTTCAGATTGCTGGCCTCTGTCATGACCTGGGTGAGTAATACATCCCTTTTCAATATTACATATAATAGTTTATAAATTATGTTATTGGGTATGAAAAGAGTAAAATGAAAGTGAAATGATCCAGAAATAACCCTTCCATCTTTCAAAAAGCAAGGGCTTCTGCATTAATAAATAAAAAATAGGAGGGTGGGGTGAGGTGGTAGCTCGGTCTGTAAGGACTCTGATAAGAACTGGAGGGTCTGAATCTTTAAAAATAATATTTAGACTCAGAATTTTTTTAACCCAGAGGGCGTTTCGGTACCACAGTCCACCCAGACCATGCATACATTTACAAACACATAACAGTCTTTCTTGTAAGCAATATTCTCAAGTTTAGATTCAGGAGTAATCCGTTCAAACTCAACAAGACATACTGACTGTATAATCTGTACACTATCAATGGATTACGCCTGTATTTATCTATCCATTTCAAGGTCATGGACCCTTTTCCCATCTGTATGATGGACTGTTCCTCCCCAAAGCACTGGAAAAAAAGAGGAAATTAAAGAAATGGAAGGTAAGAAGTTTTATTTCTGTTATTTCTTTACTCATAGTTTTTCTTTCTTTTCTTTTTATATCTATTTATATCTGCACCTTATTTTTATTTTTTACATGTAAATACATGCTGCTGTTTTTATCCTGCACTACAACGAGCCAAATGCAACGAAATTTCGTTCTTATCTGCACTGTAAAGTACAAGTTTGAATGACAATAAAGAAAGTCTAAGTCTAAGTAATATAACAAATGAAATACAGAGGAACGGCAAAACTGAAGCACATGTACCTTTCACACTGGCTTGTTCTTTTGAAACAAAATCCAGGATGTTGATTTTTGTTTGCTTTTTCAGGTGTAATGTGATTATGCACATTTCCAAGAATGTTGATCTATTTCTTTAATAACAATGAACTTTGTAGCTTGTGTTGCTAAATGACCCATACCCTGTTCTCTTTGGTAATAATATGTCAACTTTTTATCTGACATGTTACCGCTGTTCAGAAGCTCCATGAGATTTTAATAATGTTTCTGTTTTAACCATTAATCCTGGGTGATTCAGGGATTTAGATACAACAAACAAAGATAATAATTGAATTCATGGTTCATGAGAGGTACTTATTTATGACAGGGACCTCTTTTAAAAGCAGAAGGGATTTCTAGATCTATTTATGTCTTTTTGTCACTCAATAAGAGAAGATAATTATTCATCCTACAACGGGCAGCAAAGAGCAAGGATAGCCAAAAAAGAGCACACAGTGCACCATTCAATAACTTTAGATCAAAAGAGTGCGATTGTTGTGTTTACACCCAAACAAACTGGGCTAAAGGGAAACGCCCCTTTGTTTCAGAACAACTTTTCCAAACAACCCAGGTGTGAAAAAAACGCTTGGTGAGAAAACTGAGCTGCATTATCACCTTCCCAAAAACTCTTATGCTTAACAGTTTGACATCGGGTTGAGTTCAGCTAGCTAAATAACCCTGATAAAGACTGTTAAGATGTTGTATACAGTATATTGGCTGACATTAAGTGGCTCATCAAATTCTGAAGCGCTTTAGGAACTCTGACATTGTAAGTTGTTTTACATACATACGTTTGAGATATACTCTTCAAATGTGGGAAAATTAAAGTATGTGGATTATTGTATTTATGTATAATCTTGTGTTGACACATTTATGAGTCTGTGTGTCTCGCAGCATGAAAGGGGCTCTCGTCTCATGCTAGACCACCTGGTGAAAGAGAATAATCTTAAACCAATGATGAAGTATGGACTGAAACCTGAAGAAGACATAACATCATTAAGGAGATGATTGCTGACCTCTACAGGAATCTAAAGAGCAGGAGGCAAGTTCACCTCATTATGTTTTTCAGAAGTCGGATAAGATACTGTATGAATATTAGATAAGAAAGAAGATAAAACTTATTCATCCTACAACGGGCAGCAAAAGAGCAAAGATAGCCAAAAAAGGAGCACACCAGTGCACCATTCAATAAAAAAATAGATCAAAAGTTGAGCAGCTAAAAGAGTGTGATTGCTGTGTTCACATATTTATCAAACAAACCGGGCTATGGTTTCAGACAACTTTTCCAAACTATCCAGGTGTAAAAAATCCTTAGAGAGAAAACTGAGCTGCAGTATCACCTTCCCAAAAACTCTTATGCTTAACAGTTTGACTCTGGGTTGAGTTCAGCTAGCTAAATAACCCTATAAAGACTGTTTAGGATGTTGTATACAGTATATGTCCACAGAAGATTGGCTGACATTAAGTCACTCATCGAATTCTGAGGAACTCTGACATTTAAAGTGTTTACACACTTTTGATCTACTCTGCAAATGTTGGTTGTGCTATTTGTGTAGTTCCTTGTCTTCTTGCAATATTTTTCATGATTTGATGAAAGCGAAGCATGGATTGAAACCTGAACATGTGAAAAACATTAAGTGATGATTGCTGAAGACAGAAGGCAAGTTCTCATCT